TGTAATCCCAGTAACTTGGGCAGCTGAGGCAGGAGGATTGCATGTTTGATATCAACCTCAGCAACATAGTAAGGCCCTAAGAGTGAGGCCCTGTATGAAAATATAAAAAATAAATAAGTAAAAATAAAGGACTGGGATGTGGCTTAGTGGTTAAGCGACCCTGGGTTTAAGTGGAGGGGGTAGTTAAAAGTTGGATATAATGGTATACACCTGTAATCCCAGTGACTAGGGAGTCTGAGACAGGAGGATCTCAAGTTCAAGGACAGCTTCAGCAACTTAGTAAGACCCTTAGCAACTTATACCCTGACTCACAAAAAGGGGGTACTGGGGATGTATCTCAGTGGTAAATTGTCCCTGGGTTAGCTTTTCAGTACCAAAACCAAAACAAATAAAAAACCCCAAAATAAACAACCCCCCCCAAACCTCAAGGACTCAGATAATGGCTAGAGGAAGCTTCTGCCCAAAGGATCTTTAGTGTGGTCAGGAGACAAGAGCAGCATAGGTGATGATGGCACTGGTGAAATAAATGCACTAGCATTTCTTCTGATTTCCCATAGAAAGCTTCCTATCTTCCTCTTGCTGGATAATAAAACCTGAGGTTTAAAAAATTTTTTTGGTACTTGGGATTGAACTCAGGGGCACTCGACCACTGAGCCATATCCCCAGCCCTATTTTGTATTGTATTTAGAGACAAAGTCTCACTTAGTTGCTTAGTGGCTTGCTTTTGCTGAGGCTGGCTTTGAACTCATGATCCTCCTACCTCAGCCTCCTGAGTGGCTGGGATTACGGGTATGCTACGATGCCTGGCTCCCAAGGGTTTTTTTAAAAAGAAGTATATTTTTCTTGTGTTAAAGGAAAGGCTGTGTGCATAGGTGAGTTTGTAGCAAGTACTAATATAATCCTTTTAGATTTGTCAGATGTGGAAATGAAGGCCCAGAGAGTTTGACATGCCCTTTGATTAAAGTGGAACTAGAACCTATGCTTTCTGACCCAGTGCTCTTCCCCTACAGTCTTAGTTAAATCTCTCTAGTTAAGTGTCTCAGTCCCAGGAAGAGCTCTGACTGGAATGTGTGTCCACTCCTTTGAGTAATCACTTTAGTTAATGGGGTGGCCAGTGTCTATTTTTATGTTGCTATAACATAATACCTGAGCCTGGGTAACTTATTAAGAGCAGAACTTTTTGTCTCACAGTGCTAGAAGCCAGAAGTCCAAGATCAAGTCACTGGCAAGTTTGGTGTCTGGTGAGGCCTGGTGGCCTGGTCTGTTTCCAAAATGGCGCCTTCAATACTGAATTCTTTGGAGGGGAAGAGTGCTGTTCCTCACGTGGCAGAAAGGCAGAAGAGAGCGAACCCACCCCACAAGCTATTTTTATTAATCCATTTACAACGTCAGCACCCTCATAACCTAAGCACCTTCCAAAAGGCTGCATCTCCCTACACTTCTATATTAGAGGTTCACATTTCAACATGAATATTTGGAAATGACAAGAGCATTCAAACTCAGAAGCCAGTTCAGAGGCAGGGCATATTATATGATGAAGAGGGCTAGAGAATCTTCTAGGGCACCTTAAAAGGGAAAGCTATTCCAGTTCAACAGAGACAACAAAACTCTAAGTCTCTAAA